ATTTGCCTTTCCACATGAATTGTCAAATTAGCTTGTGAATTTCTTCAAAAATTTCTGCTGGGATTTTAATTGAGATGATATTGATTCTATAGGCCAATTTGAGGAGAATGGACATTATAGCAATATTAAGTCTTTCCATGAGCATGGTATATACTTCCCATTTACTTAGGCTTTTTAAAATTACTTCCTGCAATATTTTATAGTTTTCAGTGTATGGATCTTACATTGTTTGAATTTGTATTGCTAAATGTATTTCTAAGAACCTCATGTATTTTAATATTGTAAATTTAATTTAATTTTACATTTTACTTTTCAACTGTTTATTGATAGTATATAAAAATAAATTTTATTTTGGATGTTAAGCTTGTATACTGTAACCCTGTATTGATTTAACAGTTTTGGTAGAGTTTGGGGTTTTGTGGATTTTTTTGGTAAATTCTTTCATATTTTCCATGTAAACAATTATTTTACTTACAAATTCAGACAGCCTTATTTCTTCCTTTACAATTTTTATGTCATTTATTTCTCTTTTCCTGTCTTGTTGCACAGTTAGGACATCCAAGGTAATGTCAAATAGAAGTGATGAAAATGGACATTCTTGCCTTGTTATCTATCTTAAGGAAGAAAGCATGCAATATTTCTGTATTAGATATGCTGTTAACTATAGGCTTATTGTACATATACTCTTTCAAAACTGAAGAAATTACTTTCTACTCCTAGTTTGCTAAGACTTTTTAACCATGAACTGGTGCTTAATGTTATCAATTTTTTTTTCTGCATTATATAATAATGTAATTTTTTCACCCTGATTCTGTCAATACTGTAAGTTTCATTGACTGGCATTTGAATGTTAACTCAACCTTGCATTCCTGGAATAAACACTGACATTGGTGATGCATTTTCTTTTTCTGTATATTGGTAGAGTCAATTATTCATATTTTATTATACATTTCTACTTTTATTCATGAAGAATATTGTCTTATATCTTTGTAACATACTTTTACTTCTTAGCATCAGTCTTATACTGGTTTTTGAGAGTTTTATATAAGACTGGTATTATTTTGTCTTTAAATGTTTGATAGGATTCAACAGAAAAACCATCCTGACCTGGAGCTTTCTTTGTGAAATATTTCCATTACAAATTAAATTCATTTGATATCTTATATGTTTTTTGCTTGCTTTTAAAAGTTGTGTTTCCCTAGGAATTTGTTCTCTTTGAATTTATTTGCATGAATTTGTTCATAATATTCCCTTTTTGTATTTTTAATGTCTATCCCTTATGACATGATGCTCTTCTTTCATTCTTGATATTGTTATTTAGTGCTTTATCTCTTTTTTTCTGGATCAATCTTGCTAGGGATCAATTCTTAATCATTTCAAAAAGCAGACTTTTAGGTTTATTGGTTTTTGTCTATTAATTTTCTACTTTACTGGTTTCTCTCTAATCTTTATTGTTGCCTTTGTTCTGCTTATTTTGCTCTCCTTTTGCTAGCTTTTCAATGTAGAAACTTATGTCATTTATTTAAACATTTTCTATTTTCTAAGATTTCTATTCTCTAACATTTCAACCTATAAATTTTCCTCAGAGTCCCTTTCACTATACCCCACAAAATTTGTATGTTACATTTTCATTATCAGTTTGAAGTATTTGCTAATTCCCCTGGTGATTCTTTCTTTGACTCACAGATTATTTAGAAATATGTTGCTTCATATTTATATATTTTGGAGATTTTCCTGACATATTTTTGTAACTGATCTCTATTGTTCATAGAGAATATATTCTGTATTATTTTAATCTTTTAATAGCTTTATTGACCAATACTATTGAGGCTTGTCTTATGGACAGTAGTTCTGGCTGTACTTTTCAATAAATGTCTATAAACGTTAAATAGGTTGAGTTGGATGACAGTTCACATTTTCACGCCATAATGAATTTCTGTCTACCTGTTCCATTAAGTACTGGATTTGTGTGTTTCTCCCTTTGGTCCTTTCAATTTCTGCTTCATGTATTTTAAATGTTTGCTATGGTGCATACCTATTTCAGATTATTCTATCTTCTTAAGGAAGTGACCTTTGAATCACAATGAAATGACCCTCTCTATCTTTGGTAATATTCCTTGTCTTAAAGTTTGTTTTATTTGATATTAACATAAGTTCTCATGTTCTAGTCACATGCCATATTTTTTCTTGTCTGTGTCTTCACCTTCAAAGCACACAGATGGGACTTGCTTATTTTTAACCCTCTATACCAATGTCTGCCTTTTAATTGGAATGCTCAGTTCATGTACATTTAATGTTATTATTGATAGTGATGGGTACAAGTCTACTATACTGCTACTTATAGTCTGTCTCTTTATGTCTTTAATTTTTGTTCCTCTTTCCATTCCTTTTTCTGGATAATTATGGATGGTTCTTTTTGTCTCAGTCTATCTCTCTATTAAAATATATATTCTTAGCCTACAGAATAGGCAGTCTGCCTTTAATTAATAACACTTCATGTATAATGTAAAACCTTTAAAAGATTATACTTCCATGTATGCTATATCCCATCTTTTGTGCTATTGTTACCATATATTTTACTTCTGTGTACACTATAAACCCTAAATAATTATAATTACTTTTGCTTTAAACAACCAGTTAAATTTTTTAAAGTTTAAGAAGGAAAAGAAGTAAATATCTATGAACTGATATAGATTGATTTCCAGGACATACTGTTAAGTGCAAAAAAGTAGTTTGCTATCCCTTTGTGTAAGAGAGAAATAATGGAAGGAAACACACATTTTTGCTTATTTGCATGAGAGAAATAAAGGAAAGATAAGCCAAAAACTAAAAAGACTGGACACCTATAGGAAGTGTGTAGAAAAAAAGCAAAGGAATAGAGATGGGGCTATAGGGATGACGAAGAAGTAACTTCTCTGAATATACCTTTTTGTACAGCTTTGAGTTGTAGAAATTTAGCAATGTTTCACATAGTCAATATGCAAATGGACTAAAATCAACCAGTATTTAGGGCGATTCCAAAGTAGAATACATTTAAAAATAAATGAACCTAACTGTGTTACAAAAGAATAATGTAACCTCACTGAAGCATGTGGAGAAGGAAAAAACTAATCAACATAACTTTGGAAGTTCTATTTTGATTAAATACTGTAAGCTAGATTCACAAAGAATAATACCGTATTCTGGTTAATAAATGTGTTTGTCCAGAGGTGTGGGTTAGCAATTCTGAAACTACTTAATGTATATACTAGGAAAAATCAAATAAGTAAACACATAGTAGACAATGAAAGCTGGTTTCTTATTTCTCAGAGAAAGAAGTTACAAATGGGAGAGGGAGGGTTACAATTAAACTTGTGGCCTTGGACTAGATTCAGAGCTACCAGTATAAACTCATGGTTTCTGATGTATATACATACAGATCTGTGTGGGAATGCATGACTTACAGACATATATTCCTCAGCTGAGAAAAGGCCTAGAATCAGTGATACCCCAGCAGCAATTAGCACACCCATAAATGAGATATTGGTTCTTAAAAAGCATTCTCCAATAAAAGGAACCAGGGATTCTTGGAGAAATGCTTGATTACAAGTCTGGCAGGGAAAATACAAGATGAGCCTGGAATATTCTGTGGCACCGGAAAACAAGGAATTGCTTTAAAAAAGGCAGGGATAAGGATAGATCAAAGGGGCATGGAGCTGAACTGAAGGAGCTCTCAGTGGCCAAAGCTGGAACAACTTGAGCAAGAAAATAATGTTATTGTTGGATTGTAGCCCAGATACAGAATAAGTATCTATGAATCTACACTAATATTAATATCAATAAGTTGAATACACAATTGGAGAAGAAGAGGTAGCTCTTACTTCTAATTAACAAATGTAGGAATGAGGAAATTAGAAAATCTCCACTAGGCAAATACCATAGTATTCATTGGTTCCAGGAAGATCCACAGACGGAGACTAAAAATAGTGAGTGACACTAAGGAAAAATAGGATATTTTCATAATCAGACTCCTTTTTGCTCTTGGTAATAGTGTTACCTTGAAGAAACTACTAACCTTCTTGATCCTCAGGTTACCTGTCTGTAAATAAATTGGCTTAACTAGATCACCTAACTAGATCTCAGGCTCCAAAGTCTGGCTCTATTCCACCAGGTGAATCATGACCACTTTCTGCTCCCAGGGCTCTTCTGCCCCCAGAGCATTTCCTCAGAGGATAACCATCTGTATGTGCCATTCATCCTCTTCTACCTGCTCTGTGTTGTACTGGGAAATGTGAGCTTGGAATCAATATAAAAAGAGATGAACTAAAAGAGGAGAGTTGTGTGGGACTCGATCTGGCCTTCTTGGAACCTAATTCCCATGGAGAGGAAACAGTGGTCTGGTTTCAGATTACAGTAGCCCTAAGCTCCAAGCCTGGACAGAAAGTGGGGTAAGTGGAGCCTTCTGCTGGGTGGGGTCTTGCTGTCTACTCCATGCTGGTATTAGAAGAGGAAACAGATATTGCTGGAGTGGGGGGTGTTTCTTTAAATCAAGCCTACTGGCACTGTCCCTGGCGGAAATACCCTCTAGCCTTTTATCAATGCTGACACAAGGTTTTATGTTTTTGCAAGGAGACAGAATGCATCTCAGGGTAATCCAATGGTTAATTTTTACAAATGCCTGATGCACTCTCTCCCCCAACCAGAGAACAACGCATTCATTATACATATAGACAATGATTTTTTAATTCCAATAAAAACTGTCCCACTCATCAACTCCCATGGCAGCCAAATGATACTTGCAGGTCAGTTCTAAAAGGTAATACAAAAGGGTTAAATGGTTGCATCCAGGCCTCCAAAGCAAGCAAGGCTGTCATGCAAAATGACCTGTAGGAATTCTAGCCATTTCCAGAAGCTTGTAATTACAGTGACTCATCCTCTACTACATTTAGCAGACAGCTCACCAGTAAGAATATGCCTTAAACACATGTTAACAGGAAAAACACAACACAATGTATCTTTACCTTATAATAAATTCTGGCCACCAAACCCCACTGAAGAACCCTTTCATGAAAATTCACTGCTTTCAAAAGAAAGGGAAGATTACTGACCATGTCCATGTTTAATGCCAGGAAACTGAAGAAAAAACACAGTGACCATCATTATTATTTTTGTCCTCACCAAAGAATTTCATTTGAAAGAAATAGATAGGTTTTGTTTTTTCATTTCTTCCAATAGAAAAACAGTGTAAGTAGACATAATCATAAGCCTCTCACTTGCTGGATTTATGCTTCGTTCGGTATCTTTTTGATGAATGCTTAGCTCTAGCTTAGGCCATGTGGTTGTCCTTGTGGTGTAAAGATAGTTTAATTTCTTGTTTTTTTCCACTTGTATTAGTGGTGTTCAATATTTTATATAGTCTTTATTGACAGCTACATGATTTCCATCAAATGGGTTTATAATTTATGTAACCATTGTTGGGCATTGTGATAATGATTATAAATGAATAATAGTAATCAAGTAAATCTGTCACAAAGTATTTGTCAGTGAATAATATTGCTTAAATACATATGCATCACGAATGTTTCAGGAACTGTGCTAATTATTGTTGTGAATTACTCAATAATCTCAATAATTCTATGATGTGGATACTATGATTATCTGATCTACAGTGAGAGAAACTAAAGCTCAGCAAGATTCAGCAACCTGCTCAAGGTCACAAGGGTAGAGCATGCTCAGGCTTGGGTGCTGTTGTAAGGGACACCCGCGCTGAAGGAAAGAGGAGCCCCTGAGGGCAGTGAGGAGGGTGTGGGTACGCGCAGCGTAGTGTGTCACAGAGATGGTGACTTTCTTCAGCACGTCATTTCCTTCTTCTCCATCTGGCAAAAAAGGAAACTGAGGCCCAGAGGAGTTGGGAGACTTAGGCACAAACAGACTCAAACTCCCACGTCTCCCTCAAAACCCTATGGAACTTTCATCAGGCAACCCTGCCTTTGCACTAATGTGCACCCACAGTGAAACTTCTACCTGTAGAACTTAGTGGACAGCTAAGGGGTCACACAGTTAGGTTTTCCCATAGCTCAGCCACCCCTTTCCCCCATATTCCTGGGAAATAAGTTATTAGATGACCCAAATATCTAAGATTCTCATTAATTAAAATTAAAACCCACAAGTAGCTGTTGCTGTTGCTTAATCAGAAGCCACTAGAGAAACATTAAGAAGCAATTGATACAGTGTTTTCAAGACTGCCAAGCATGGCATTAATGATTGCTCTCCGTTTAGACAGGAAAGATGAGGGTTACTTACATGCTAATGGCCAAGAAATTTAAATTATATCAAGACATATTCTGAGTCTGGTCTTTAGAAGGTTGAGTTTCTGTGTCAGTCTATTTGATATAATAATAGGTGGAAAGAACATTCATATTTTATTGAAAAGCATGTTTTGGTCATTCCAGGGACTGTAAGAAACCTAGAAACTGTGATTGTTGTTATTAGAAACTACTTACTTGAGATGTTTATTGTAGAGTACTGTCCACCTGAGGCAGTGAGCTGCATGTGCTATAGGAAGTGGATCTCATCCCTCCATGTACTCTTAGCTACATACCCAGCACAAGCAGGCCATGTGGCTCTAGGAACTCACCCAGCAGAGAAGACTTAATAATAGGAATATCACTAAGAGCAACCCCCCTATAGTATACAAGAAGGTCAAAATGACTTTATAAAGTTAAGTAAAAGTTAAATTAAATTCAAATGTACATCATTAGTCATCAGAGAAATAATAAGGAAAACCACAAGGAGGTAGTATTATACATCCACCAGAATGACTAAAATTAAGTATACTGACAACATCAAATGTTGACAACTATACTGAGCCACTGGAACTCTCATACTTGTTCATGGAGTATAAAGTAGCAAAAGCACTTTGGAAAAATTTCTCATGGTTTCTCATAAAACCAAACAGACATATACCCTACAACCCAGAAATTCTACCCCTATTATTTGCCTTAGGGAAATAAAAACATATATTCACAAAAAAGCTTGTGTACAAATGTTCGCAGCAGTTCTTAGAGGAGTATAAAACTGGCAACATCCTAGGTGCCTGTCCATCAATAAGAGAATGGAAAACAAACCCTAGTACAGCCATAAAATGGAATCCTACTCAGAAATAAAAAGGAACAAACTAATGCACATGACAATATGAATTAATCTCAAAAAGCATTATGTCAAGTTAATAAGCCAGTTACAAAGGAGTACATACTGTATGGTTCCACTTATATGAAAATCTAGAACAAAAAACTAATCTGCAGTAGAAAATACCACAGAATAGTAATAGCTGCATCTGGGGTAGTAGTCACAGGGGTTAACTGAAAAGGGACATAAGAGAACTTTCTGGAGTGATGCTAATGGCCAAAACTTAGTACAAGTTTTGGTTACACAGGGTTATGCATTTATCAAAACTCAGTGAATACACACTAAAGATTGTACATTTCATTGTATGTAAATTCTACATAAGAAAAAACTAACTGAATTGAATATTGTATTTATTCTAGCTAATGATGTTCATGCTGAATTTTTTAAATTAAAGTATCACTGATATACAATCTTATGAAGGTTTCACATGAGCAACACTGTGGTTACTACAGTCACCCATATTACCAAGTCCTCTGCCACACCCATTATAGTCACTGTCCATCAGCATAGTAAGATGCTGTAGAGTCACTACTTGCCTTCTCCATGCTATACTGCCTTCCCTGTGACCCCCCTATATTATATGTGCTAATCATAATACCCTTAATCCCCTTTTCTTCCCTCCCCACCCACTCTCCCCTACCCATTCCCTTTGGTAACCGCTAGTCCCTTCTTGGAGTCTGTGAGTCTGCTGCTGTTTTGTTCCTTCAGTTTTGCTTCATCATTATACTCCACAAATGAGTATTGGTACTTGTCTTTCTCCATCTGGCTTATTTCACTGAGCATAATACCCTCTAGCTCCATCCATGTTGTTGCAAATGGTAGGATTTGTTTTCTGTTTATGGCCAAATAATATTCCATTGTGTATATGTACCACATCTTCTTTTTC